GCAACAGAACAGCTTCAGGTAAAAACATACACATTTCAGTCAACTATAAGTTAATTTAAGTTATAAGCAAGAACCTCCTGTTGCACAATTCTAGTTAAAAAACCAAACAACAAAACCCCAAAACAACCTGAAAATAATTTCTTAAAATTTGACTCTGACTTACTTTAAAATAAGCAAAAAACTCATTTTGGTAACTTTTGTAAGACAAAGTAAACAGTAACTTCAAATTTTAAAAAAATAAATAAATCTGATCATTACCTGTCCTAAGCACCTGAAGTTGTAGGTTATGGATTCAGTTTTAAGAAAAAGTTATATTGTAGCATTAAAACTCATGGCAAAGAACATGAAACAATATCCAAGAAATCCAAGAATGCCATATATAGCTTCTTTATTTAATAAAAATATGCAAATTCTATTGATCAACAGATCACGCAAGTATTACCTTCCTTGGATAGAAATACCAAGTTTAAATTAGAATTGTCTGCACAATAATCACATTCTGTTGCATATTTGTTGCATTTCAGTCCCACAGCAACTGTTTCCAAGCGATAAGAACTTTAGTGCTAAAATATTTCAAAGTAACTGTTCAGGTTACCCAAAAACTCCCAAGTGTAACAAAGGATTTCAGTGAAGGGGAAGGAACGGAGATTCTGCTAATAAATAATGTCCACTGCACTTGTCCCTCTGCAGTGTTTCCATGTTTCCAAGTCCACTGGCAGGCAGCTGTAACCCCTCACGTGACAGGAGTGACTGTTCTGCAATATCAAAACCAAAGCCCATCTCTCAGGTGTATCCAGCTCAAAGCTCAAACCTTCTCAGAGTGTTCGCTGGAGTTTTTGTAAAATGCTATAAAGAGACCTCTTTATTTTGTCAGCTTTTAAAATAACTACAGAAATAATTACTGCATTCTTTCAGGGCTAATTAAGAAAGCAAATAGTTTTGTATTTGGGATTTGTTCTTTTAAAACAAGTGGTCAGGGTACAGTTTAAAAGAAAATGTTTCACACGATTATGACTAAGCACCACTGATTACAAGAGCTCAGATGTTACACAGCTTTGTTTGGTTTCTAAAGAAGTTCTCCCCCAAACCAGAAAACAAATATGGGAGAATTAGTCAGGATTCTGCAGATAGTTCTCCACATCTGAGTACTCCCAGTATCAACACAAGTCACAAGCATAAAGCTACACACACCCTTCACATGGCAGAAAATCTCTTAGGTCTCAGAAATCAACTGTACACTGATGTAGCATTTCTTAAGTTCTTCAAAGGGAAAAGTTTTACACACCACGTGAAAAGAGCAGGTCACACACTACTATTTTTTGGACCTCTGCTACTCGGTGAACATTTTAGGATTACTTTTCAAAAACAGTTTTACCTTTTGATATTTGTTCGGGAGTTTCTGTGGGACATGTAAGTGAGAGTTCTGTGCAAAAATATTGGCTGCAGGGGGAAAAAAAAGAAAGAAAAAGGTTAGGCTTTAATTGAAATTTCCTACAAGCCCAAAGTAAAGGAGTGATAAAACCGATTACTCACTGCTATGAGATTCCGGGTACGCAGAAATCTGTATATCTGTGTTGGTTCTAAGAAAGAGGAACAGGCGTTATCCAACATAAAAATATCCTTGTAATGATAAAAAGTATCTAACTTAGCATGGTGATTATTTGGAAACAATTACCACAAAAAGTCATCCCAGAGTCCAAATAACTACAAGTTAACACGTCAAAGGTTACTTCTCCTGCTCTACAACACCAAGCCGACTTCTCCTTTAAGCTGCCATAAATCAGGGTCACAACTCAACCCTGACTGTTCCTGCTCCCACAAAACGTGTTTCTTACAGGCTTTATATCACGAGAGGGCAGGAAAAATACCTCTCCATGTCACAGAGAGGTAAATAGGTAAGTTTACCTATTGTAAAATAGGTAAGTTTTCTTCATGAGGTTAATGAACACGTGTGATCCGACACCAAAACAGCCCAATAAATTGACACGGTCGGACAATGTGGGATCTGTTTTATCCTTCTGGGAAGTCCCAAGGTCACTTGCAGCAGGTACTGAGACAAGAACAGGGACTGACAGTTGACTGTGATCCAGTAGGGATCATTCTAAGCCGGGAAATTCATGTTGATTCTGGTAAAGCAACTCGAAGTGCAAACAGAGGGAGGATAATAGAGCTGTACCCAACATCGACAGCACCTCAAAGAGGTGTAAGAACCAAAGCTCAAAGGATCAAGACTTGCCTACAGGCAAGAGGACCCTCAGATTAGTTGCAACCGATTCAGTTAAATCAAGACAAAAAAGGTTTTGTCTGGATCAGGTTGTATCTAACAAGAATTCCAAACTAAACTGAAATACACTCTATTTATGCTGAAATAAAAGCCAGCCTCGTTAAGGAGCCTCAGCAAGAAACTTAGAAATGACTTGATAAAACACATCACGTGGAGAGAGAAGAAAGAATGAAGAAGGTCTTGATGCCCATGCTGAGACTGCTAACACTGCCTCCATTTCCCACAGAAAGAAAACAAACTGCTTCTTTTTAAAGAAATATAAAATTTTATTTTCATATGATTGAAAAAAACCCGTTTATTTTTAATAGCTGGAAACTCTACTGCACCGAATTCTGCAATTAGAAGTGGAAAAGGACAGCTTTTTATATCCTTTACCTCTTTTTAAAGATATGATTCCACCTGATTTCTCCAGTTATAAGGCCCCACAGAATCCGTTATTAGAGAGATGTACTATTGCTAGACAAGAAAATCTTAAAACTATCACATGTCCTTTTAGAAGCCTGATGAAAACCAGTAAAATTCTGCTTAATTCAAGTTATCATAATAAATCCGTGTTTTTCAAATCAAGATAAAAGACAGAAAGGAAAGAAATTAAGAAACATGCACTTTGCTACCAAGTGAAAACACAGAGTAGTCACAACTTCTAAAGAAACATCCCAGGATTTTAGTCTCAAAAAGCCCATGACATAACTATAATTTAGAAAGGTATGAAAACAATAAATTATATTCACAAGGATGCAATTTAATTTAAAGGCAATGCACTGCTGCTTCAACTTTAGTTTTCCCGAGCAGAAATATTCTGAAACACACTTTTCAACCTGCAGAGAGACATATGTTTCACAAGTCCACATTACCCAGCAAAAGCTTAAAATAAACCTTTATCTTTTTCTAGCATATGACCTTGAAAAGGGACAAAATCAGCCAGGAGGAATGCGATTCAATACTCCACGTGTTGGGATTTTTTTAATCCGGTGTTTACTTATTGCAGTTTTCCCATGATAGTCACACTGCAGGGTTAACATTTTGTGGTACATCCCCACTTTTCTCCTGGTCCCACCTGCCCCGCTCTGAGCTTCCCTTGTCTGACACACCGAGCCACGGGCAGGAGGATTTGTTTCCACCACAGGCACTGACACCGAGCAAACCCCTCGCAACTCGTTTGCCACTTGACCCATTTGCAGCACAGTTAACAGAGCGCTGTTAACACGACTGAGGCTCAAACAACCCTACATTATTCGAGACAACACCAAAAACTCCAGCTTTCTCCAACACTGTCACCGTCTCCAGCGAGAGAGAGCAGTGACAGCACCAGTCCCAAACCAGGACCAAGTTTCTTTAGTAGGGCATTAAAAACTCCCTTCAAATCCTGAAAATCTCTCAGTACAAGGTAAGTTCACTGTTCCACCGCGCTTTTGAACCAGATTTCCATCAACAACTTTCTGGTGCATTCAGGGGGGTTTTTCCTCCTCTCCGGAGCTGCCACAGGGGGATGCCTGGGTCGCAAAGGTCAATTTCCACTACGAAACCTCAACTAAGGGACAATTATTGCCAGACAAAGAAAAACCCAAGTACAGTGAAGCCTGAACCGCATCCTGCCCCTCAAAGGGGCTCGAACGGCAGAGGCCAGAGAGGAACGAGCCCCCTCGCCCCTCAGTGCCCGGGGGCTGCCGGCGGAGGGAAGGGAACCCGAGCGCCTGATGGGAAGTGCTGCCGAGCACCAAGTTCATCGCTGGGCGCGGGCACACACCCCCCACCCCCGCCCTCCGCCCCGCGGGCCCTCCCGCACCCCGGCCCCGCTCCCCGCGCTTCCGCCCGGCCCCCGCCTCCCCCGGCCCCGCTCCGCGGGCCCCGCTCCCTCCCGCGGGCCGTGTTTACCCCCGGAAGCCCCCGCTGCCCGCAGCCCTCCCCTCCTCCTCCTCCCGCCCTTTCCGCGGCGGCCCGGGCCGGTCCCGCCGGCTCGGCCGCCGCTCCCCTGGCCGGCCCCCGGTGCTCACTCTCGAAGGCCTGAAGAAAGAGGTCGTGGTCGGCCTGGATCTGCTCCATCTTCGGCTTCTTCACGGGGGGCAGCGCCGCCGCCGCCGCCGCTGCCGCCGAGGAGGCCGAGGAGCCGCCCGAGTACCCACCGCCCCCGCCGCCGCCGCCGCCGCCCGCGGCACCGCCGGATTTGCCGCCGGGAGCCGCCGCCGCGGCGGAGCCCCCGAACCCGCCGCCGCCGCCGCCGCCTCCTCCTCCTCCTCCTCCGGCGGCGCCGCCAGCGGAGCCCGAGCTGGGCCCCGCACCTCCACCGTGCTTCTGGGGAGCCATGGGGGTGGCCCCGGGCGGGCCCCGGCGGGACGGGGAGCGCGCGGGGCGGGCAGGGCCGGCCGGGGCGGGTGCGTGAGGCGGGGGGCGAGGGGGGGCCGCGCCGCGCTCCAACTCCGCCAAGTCTCCTCCGCCCCGCTCCCTCAGCGCCGCGGCCGCCGAGCCCGCACCGCGCCGCGCGCCCGCCCCCCGCGCGCGCCCATTGGCCGCGGGGATGGCGCCGCGCGCCGCCATTGGCCGCCGCCGGCCCCGCCCCCCGGGTGACGCGCGGATGGTTCTGGAAGCGTTTGGTTGGTCCGCGCGCTCGGCGCGCGCCCCCTCCCCGGACCCCCCCCCCCCCCCCCCCCCCCCCCCCCCCTTTGAACTGAATTCGCGGGAAAGCGCCGCTCGCGCTCCGCCGCGCGGGGCATGATGGGAACGGGGGGGGCAGCGGAGGGCTGAGGGGGCGCTCGTCCGCCCCCCGCCCTCACACCCCGTCACAACCCCCTCACACCGCCCTCATAGGACCCCTCACTGCCGCTCCGCTCCAATGCCCCCGAGCTTCCAGAACCATCGGCTCTCCGTGCCCCTGCTGCCGAGCTGTTCCGACTCTGGGCTCTCCGTGTCCCCGGCTCTCCGTCCCTCGGGCTCTCCGTGCCCCCTGTGCCTTCCAGACCCCCCCGGCCCTCCGTGCCCCAGACTCCCTGGACTCTCTGGCCCCCTTGTCACCGCCCGGTGGCCCCACGGCCAGAAGGGTGCTGGTGCCCGTGCCCCCCTCGCCTCAGGGGCCACTCCGCTGCCCCCAGGAGCTCCAGAGCTACATTTGTCAAAAAAGAGCTAAATTTTTTGAAATGGAAGTTCGGGTATAAATCGGTGTCGGTACTGTGGTAGAAATGGTTATACTGGGTGGGCCATGAGGTCCTGCTGCTATCTCGCAGCTTTAACCTTATCTAACCGTGAGGTTCCCTCAGGGGAAGGCACGAGGAGCTGCCCACAGGTGCTGCGAGACTTGAAGTCTGAGGTAAAGCTTTTCTGGGTTTATTCCCACCTTTCTCTGCTTGCTGAGGGTGCACTGAATCCTCAGGGAAACCCAGGCTCAGTCCAGGGTCGGCCCTCGGGGCAGGATCTGGTGTGTGAGAAAACACCAGGGAGTCCAACTGTGCCACGGGGAAACTCAACATCAGCTCTGTGTAATCAAGTCCTTAACAGAGACGTGGCAACTTGCACATAAAAGGCTTCGGCGACCGTTCCGTTCTGTTCTATTTGTGAAACTTCTCCAGAGCAGTTTTACAAGGCCGGGTAAGAATGGTCCATGTGTGAAATACAGCCTTGAATTCCGATACCAGACACAGCTGTGGTGCTGGCACTCCACCATCCCCACTGATCTTCTAATTTCTAGTGATAAGAAAAATGAACTCAATGATAAATATTCAGAGGAAAACCATATATCAAAGTCAGCTGTGCTGTAAATGTGCCTTACATTATCAACACGGGGATTCCAATGTGATGCCTCAATTGTCTGGTATTAACCTTATTATGTTTAAAGAAAATATATGTATATACATTTACCCCACAAACAAGTCTTTATTCACTATTCCCCTCTTTTTGCTTTTTCTGTTGCACCATTTATCTTTCATGTTTGTTCTGGAACGATATTTTCTTCCCTTATCTTTTTTCTTCCTTCCTTTCTCAGACATTGATGTTTTACCTGCAGGCTTTTCAGTATTTTGTTTCAACCTTAATTTTGTTACATGTTAGAAATTCATTGCTGTCACAACTTTACCTACATTGTATTTTTCTTCCCTCTAAACAAAAAGTGATATTTCTAAAATATTGTTACACATTTTATCCTGCTTGTCATTATTGTCTCTGCTTAGTATTCCAGGTTTTTTTGTTGTATTCCTTATTCAATTTCTCTACAGTCACCTGTTGCTGAATATGTCTTTCATTACTGGAAGCAGCAATGTTTGAGGCACTGGCTGTTTCTGAGGACCTTACCTGTAATTTCTTTGCTCATAATACCTGGGAATTCGTGGTGACGCTTCTGATATTGGGTGGTTGCCAGGCTGTTGGATTTAGGGGCCAGAGAGCAGCTGTACCCCAAATTATGGGCATCTTTAGTCATCAGAGGTTGAGCTTGAGGTCAGTGATACCCTGTTACAAGTGACAAAAGGTATCAATATTACATTATGTGTGAGAAAGGCTCCTGAATGCTGTACAGCTGAAATTTTGTCCTTGGAAGTTGTTTGCTACCTAATTTATTCCTGTTTCCTCACAACTGTTTCCAAGTCTCTGCTGCTGCTGGTGGCTCATCCTTCTAAATTTCAAAACTGGGAGGAAGAGCCAGAGGGCAGCCTTCCAAGCAGGAGTAGGAAAGATAATTAAGCAATTAATGTCTGGCATTGGAGTTGGATCTGCTTGGGAACAGAGGAACCACGGCTGCGACTCCTGCCCGGAGCGGGACAGGACAGTGGCAGGACCTGAGCCCCCTGCTAGGGCAGGACTGGCTGACAAATAGTAGAGCTTTGTAGCTTGAGCCTGTTCCCCTTAGTTGTCCTTTCATGTCCCTTCCGACCCAAACCATTCTGTGATTCCATAATTCATTCTATATTTGGGGCTTCATAGAATGGATTGGTAGAAATAGCAAGTAACTTCTATTTATTTTGCACAGTTACAAGCAAGGAAACAAAGGCTCCTTTTAAGAAAGATGGAGGTCATTATGGTTTCTTCAGAAGAAAAATGAGCTGTAGCACGAGACCGTTGTGTCCTTGACCTTCCTGGTAATATAGACCCCTACAGATTTTACAGATGCATTTATTAAAAAATAAATAATTTAAACATTTGTCTTGTATACATATACATATATCAGGTAACAGAAAACTGGTCATATTTAGCCAATGACAAGGTACCTACAAAGCCAGTGAAAATGTGTTTTCAAATAAAGTGGTTTAAAAAAGAAGCAGTGAAACATAGTGTACCTTACTGAAATCGATAAAACTAAAAAGAATCTAAAAAAACCTTAAAAAGTTTAAGATTATGGTAGTGTATCTTTTCCCTATAAAGATAAATAATATCCTAACATAATGCAAAAAAAAAAAAAAAAGAAAAAGGGCAGTTTAATAAGTTTAAGATGATAAATGGAAGAAACAATCAATTCCAAACCAGGAGCGCTGTTGGAATAAACCCCTGAAATGAAAGCAGAAGTAGGTGGTAGAGGTGCTTCTATAATATGTCAGATTTTATGTCTTGAGATGGCCAATCCATTCTTGTTTTCACATCCCGTTAGTGGGATTTGCATTTGATATCCAGAAGATCAGATTTGTTTCCTGCAGATTGGAAGCACATGCCACTTGTAAATCTCCTTTTCCTGTGGCTTTTCACAGCCTGTGCGTGCCCAGCATTCCTGTCATCCTGAACAGCTGAACTGCAGCAATTTTTGCCTCTTCACACATATATGTAAAAGTACATGCATATTTTAGAGCTTTGTGCATTTGTTTTTTTCATTTCATAGTTCCCTGATTTTGTTGGTTGGCTGTAGTGCCCCTATAGCCACACTAAACTTTCCAGCTTGAGTCCTCCAAATTACTGTCTTGGCATAGGAATATTTACAAAGTAAATCCTTATTTAAAGGGGAAATAAATACCTGTAAACTCAGAGCTCAGCCTAAATGAAGGTTTTGTCAATATAACTATACTGGTTTCCTCCCATCTTTAAACGTGGGTCTGTCTACAGTCTATAGAGATTGTTAGTAACTAACTAAACACTCCTACAGACCAGCTTATCTCCTGAGAATTTAATTTTATGTGTAACTTTGGAAGGAAAGAGTAATTTTCATTAGCTGAATGTAAACTTTTGGTCAGTCTTTTTAAAGATTGGTTACAGATTGGGGCCATTATGAAAGCCACAGTCAGGATTTATTAGGGAACATTGTTGTACCCCCTGCTAAGGCACTGGAGTTGGGTGTTCAGGAGCTGCTGAGAGTAACAAACCTCAGTGAGTGTCCTGGGTCCCTGCATTTCTTTACCTTGACCTTGAGCTCACAAGCACATTCCACTTCTGTGGTTACATCCACACTTTGCTTCTTGCTGTTTTCATGCTTCCAGGTTCTCCTCCTCACAATCTGTCTGGCCCCCAAACCCAGGTTTTCCATGAGAGAAGCGAGGAAGCAAAAATGCTCCAGAACTGAAACAAAAACACTTCCTGCATGGATGGGAAGGTCCCACAGCTGTGTCACTGTGCTCCAACCCCAGATCCATTTCAGTGGCCCCCTCACACAAATAAACTTCACTACACGCTGAGTTAACCTTGTCTGCAATAGATACTAATTCATTCTTCAGTTCATATTCTATATTTTCAGTCTGATTTGATGTTAATCAACAATAATTGGCCATGGAAATTATTAGATAAGCTACTCTTCCCTACCTATTTGGAAAACAAAAGTCAACTCCCACTTATTGTTTTCCAGCCTCTTGTAAAGAGAGGCTACACAATATTGCAGCTGGAGAAAGGGAGCAGCTCCAGATCTGTGGATATGAAAATTTCCAGATTTGTAGATAACAGCACAGCAGGAGGCAGGGGGAATGCTGGGTGTATTTGGGATGGCAGGATCATGTTGCTGTTGGGGTGGAAGCTCTCAGTTTCAGTTTGGTTTTCTGCATGTTAAGGTACAGAGCTGCCCTGTTTTCATAAGCAGGGAACTGAGAAAAGAGAAAATAAACTTTGCTGTAAGGGAAGCCCTGTGCTGGAGGAAGAGCACAGATCCTCCACAGCAATCCAAGTGTTCCCAAGTATTCCCATGAATGCTTGGGGGGGGTGGGGGGTGGAGATTGACAGAGCAGCCACTTGTGATTCTCATTCATGTGTTTGCCAGGGACTGCTTTTGTACAGAGCTGTTCAAATGTATTCCAGGAGCACAGCACTCCAGGAACGTGGCCCTCAGGGAATCTTAATGCTCCCACAATGCACAGCTTTCAGCCACAGGTTCCTTACATGTCTTGAGTTATTGCAGAGAGTGGAGAGGGAATGCACAGGATGTTTTACACCACGGAATCACCTGTCTCCTGCATTCCCACGGGGAACAATCAGTGATTAAAGTTATTAATCAGTACTGCTGAGCAGAAATGTATGCTCAGGACTTGTCTCTTGGAGTTCTCTTGGTGATGTTTTAACATACTCTTCATGATTCTTCTACAGTGAAATTTATTTCCTGCCTTTCATTTAATGATTTCTTTCTGTTTAGTGGCTTTTTAGCAGTAGTCTTTGTCTTTAGAGTCTAGGTAGTGGACAAAAAATACCAGAATTGTTTCAAAAGTATTGTGAAGAGCCTGGGCCCAGTAAATTAACTTGCTCTAGAAAGGTAGGACGTCTCCTAAGATGATTAAATTGTGAGGCTAGAAATGGACTAAATACACAGAAAAAAAACCCAAGTCAAATCTTGAAGTTTAAATATTTAATACATTGAAATGGAACAGGAATCCTGCTCCTTCATGCTGCAGTTTCAGAGATGCAGCATGTGTGGTACTTCCTGCAAAACTATCAGAAAACTATAAAAAATTCAAAAAATCGTTCTAAGTGAACTTCAGGAGTTTGTGCTCTCGCAAGTGAATCCCGGAAACTGTGGAAGATACGGCAACTGAAAAACTTCTGATGCAAACTTAATGATTAAACTCAGAAATGCAGAGATCAAAGAGGAACTGCTGGGGAGATGTGAGAATTCAGTCAGTTACAGATGTAAATAGAAGTTTCTCAACAAAAGGTCTGTTGACAGTGCAAGAATGAAATCTTCAGTCACTCAAAACGAGAAATATGGGAGGATCAAAGAGCATGTCAATAGATAGTAAAACAAAACCTCAAGTGAATTAGTTAACTAATTAATTTCAGCTTTAAGTAAGGGATAAGTTTTAACAGGGACCCATTCTTTCTTTTGTGTCTTAACTAAGTATAGATTAATAAAGTGAGAATTGGGAATTTTATCATCAGCACTTACTTAAAGGATAAGATCAGGGCAGAAACTGTTTTTCCAGTGTTTCCCAGTTAGCACAGACATATACAATTCACAGAGCAGAGCTTATCTAAGTGTTTCATGTGAAAGTTAACACGTTATCTGGGGTTTCATATGCCAGAAGTTGCTTCAGAAGGCTTTTACAAGAGTTTATCTTGTGTTTGGAATACTGCTTGGGAGGATGTGATTCTGCACACTGTGACCTGAATTATCCATACTCCAGAAGTAGTTTTACTGGTTGTTGCCATGATTGAGGTCGCTTTTCCCACACTAAACACATCTCCACAGAAGGAGGTGAGAAACAGCAGGAGGCAAACTGTGACCAATCCTAATCCCAGTTTTTGGAAGGAGAAATAAATCCATATGTGGCTTACTTTATGCTCTTTGTCATGGCAGTGTAATTGGTGCTGGTGCCAACATCTCTGTGTTTAAAAAATACAAGGCTTTGCTCTGAGGAAGTTCTGTCTTTACCTGCCTTGTTCCTTATGACATAGTTGGGTCACCCAAGGCCACGCCACCATTTCACCTCCCCTTCAAACCCAGACAGCTTAGTGAGGTAAATTAAGATTACTATGACTCTGCTCTCCAGACCTCTGGCAACAATCCTAAGCACAAGTGTACAGGCAAGAAATACCATTAAATTAAAGATAATTAAGCAATACATTTCATGGTGCTGACAATTTGGGAGTATGTAGGGCAGATGACTGATATAGTTTTAAATTGTTGAAATGTGACTGGCATTCCTCTGGGTTATGAATTGGCCACTAGGATACGATGAGTGACTGGTTGTAACTGCCCTGCTGCACTTACACAGCCTGTCAAGTGCTCACCAACCAGCCAAATGACAAAATCAAATTAAAAGGCTCATAGCCACTACTGTACAAGCCCCTGGAGACCCTGAATAAACAGATGGATCTTGTGCTGAGGACCAGATGTGAACTGGCAAGGAAACAATTCCAGAGGCATCATTCCCCTTCGCTGCAAATTCCCCGTGTAGAGATGTTCAGATCTTGGGGCGACGGAGAAGAAACAGGATGCTCAAAATGAGTAGGAGGAAAAGTCTGATTCAGAAAAATTCAAGCTCAGAGCCAATGCAGAAGTAAAGGTCTTGCCTTTGTAAAGAGATGATATGTAAGATTAAATGATCAGATAATAGTTCTGATAAGGCATTAAATGGAAATGTTTATGTTTGTTGTGGTTTTTTTAACCACTAATAGTTGAAAAAGAGGTGAGTGAATGAAATTCCAGGAGGGATTCAGATCTAATGCTGCAGGGTAAGTGCCTGCAAGCTGCAAGAGTAAAGCAATGCATTGACAAAGACAAGCATTTTCTATCAGAATGGAAAAAAATAACATGTCCAGGACATGGACCAGGGTTAATGATGGTATGGAACAGTCCAACTGACCGACTGCATGGTCTTAAATCTGAATTTTTGGAGGCTCAAGTGGAATTGCAGTGATGAAACCACTATTTATGCAGATTGACTGCTGGTTTTGGCAGAGGTGAAACCAAATCATCACAGAAATTGTTATAATTACAAAACTAGGGAGGTTAATGTAGTCCAAGGTTTGGGTTAGTATATTTTTGGGAGTAAATTCCAAACTGCTTTATTAACAGATGTGCTTATATATTTTCAAACCAAAGTCCCACGTGCCCAGTAAATGCTTCGAGGGCTTTGTTAAAAATGTGTCCTGAAGGGATGAACCACTTGGTCAGCTGAAGTCAGTGGAAGCTTCCCAATTATTTTCATGAGGTCAGAACATCACTTTCATTGTTTAAAAGGCATCTTCATAAAGTGCATTATGACAATTATATACAAGTTAATTCTAAAATATTGTACATCTGAAGGAGTCTTCTAAAAAGCTGTAATTGTTTATGCACTCAGGTAGTAAAATGGCAGAAATAAATAAGATACATCTCAATCAATTTGTAATTTAAATATTTGCCTTATGCACGTTAACCATCGTGCATTTAAACACAGACAAGACTTAAATCAAAACCACTGTGATTAATTCCTAATTCACAACGTACCCACTGCTTGCAGCCATAATCTATAAATATTAAGCTGTGACAGCTTGCCAGAACTTCTCCTGCAAGGACCTGCTGACGGAGTTTTTCTAAAGAGCCTTCATAAAAGCAGCAAACTGCGTGACCCTACAGGTGCCAGCTGCAGCAGTTGTTTCCCCAGCTCTCCCAATAAGATTTGTTGAAACTCTCTGTATCACAACGTCTTTATCGGTAATGGATCCCTCCCTTAATTTGCACTGATGCATTTGGAATGTCAGCTTCCAAAACAAGGCACATGGGAGGCATTTAAAGTAGATTTTATGAAAGGGAAATGAACAAAGAGCATGTCAGGTTCCATTTTGATTTGCATGACAAACCCAGCACGCAGTGTTCTGGTGGGTCGGGCTGGGCTCGCCTGCCACTCACGGCGTTTGTCACTTTGCTATGAGCACTTCTGACAGTCCGTTATGTTAATTGTTCTAAGGATTGTTTTCCTGGGGGAAGAAAGGGAAAGGCATTTTTAGTTTTGTTCTCTTTCCATCTACAGGAAAGGAGGGATATCTGAAGGAACGGAAAATGTTTTCAAGCGGGTTTTGATCTATTTTTTTTTTTGTAAATAATCCTGCGAGGTCATCAACAAAGTTCGGTATTTTAAATCTTATTGTTACTTGCTCTGTGTGTTTTTGAGTGGGAAGTACTAGGCCCCTAAACTAGAAACTTGGGGAGTCTATTGTTTTGGTGCACACCACTCTTTGATCCTTTGAGTCCCACAGTGATGGGTCCTGCAGAGTGGTTTGTGCTGTGCCTATGTGCTGCTGTGGGATGATATTGTGGTGCTTTGACAAGCGCTAGCAAGAAATTTAATGCCCTCTGAGGGCTTGTGGGACACCCATTGTTATTGGTATGTGGGGAACTCCCATGTGTCAGACCTGTTGGGGGATCTGTGCATGGACTGAATTCGGGAGGCACAATTCAAGGTGGAGGTTGCTGTGGCCCCTGAGGGTGCACACACTTCTCTACCACCTAAAACAGTCAGGGATTGTTTGGTGGTGGGTTTTGAGTTTCAGAGTTCCTGACTGACTGCAGGTTGATCACAGAAGAAGATTTTCAGACTGGCAGAATGAGCAACCATAAAGTTTCAGAAGGCTGTTGTTTATGTTGGTGTCTCTCTTCCGCAGTTACTGCTGATTTTCAGCCCAAGCAGAGCTGAGTGAGGAGAGCAAGAAGACAGAAATAGAATTTTCCAGAGGTTTACAGGTAATGACTGACATTTACCTTTTAAGTTCTGAACTCCTACACTGCATGTGGTGTTCTCATTTACATGTTGTGATCCAAGTGCACCATGACAGTTTAGCTCTAAATACAGAATGCTTTTATAGTATAAAATCATGCCATCAGATGCAGAGATACTCAAATGAAGTTAATCCAGTGTAGTAATTCCAATCACATTCTTGCTCAGTGATTCAGTGTGCTAATGCTGCTTTTCCTCCCCAGTGTTGTCCTCCTTAAGGGGTGTTTTATTGAACTCTTTGGATCTGTACAAGAATCGGTTTGAGCTGGTGCATCTCAAAATGTCAACCCCAGTATAATTAATAATTTACTGTTGATTATGAATAACATTCTTTCACCAACACTTTGAGCAGGATTGTTGTGCTGATTTACTGAAAGCTGAACTCCATGGGAGGTGAACTCACTGAAATGTAGGTCCCAAGAGCCTGAAGGCTTTGGCTCACTGGTGGGGGTGGCTGTGCTGGGACAGCTGTGCTGACCCTGCTCTGACCCAGAGCCTTTGGCAGCTGAGTAGGACAAGGGAGTCTCCAGGGGGGACAGTCTCCATCAGGAACTTGTTCTTGTGGGGTAAGGGGTCCCTTGGCACGAGACAGCTGCAGTGCAGAGCTGCCTCAGCCACCAAGCCCTGAATGCAGCACTAGCCTGTAGTTCTTGGTCTTGTGACTGGATGGTGCTTCTCCATTTCCTAGTAGCTTTTCTGTTTGGTCACTTCTTGGAAAATCATGTCACTACTTCCTGCCAGAAAGAAAAGTTGCTGAACCTTTCCCACTAAGGATTCTTTTTTTTTTTTTTAATTGGTGCCCAATATTGAGAAAAACCACCACAAGTCCAAGTCACAGCAGGTGAAAAAAACTACCACTGTTCTTGACAGTTCTCGCAAAGTGCTTTGTCTTATGTGTGTTTTTAACAAAGTCACTTGCTCAAGTTCTTGCTCTGTACTTGGCAACACCTGTTAAACATTTTGACTGTAATAAAAAGGAAAAATTACCCCCAGGTTTTTTTGGCTTTTATATATGAAAAATGCTGTGCCAGAAGCCCTCTTGCCCTTAGTCCTTGTATGTGGTTTTTCAGAGACAAGCTCCTGCCTTTCCTCCGGGAGGGAGCGATGGCTGAGACAGGGCAGAGGTTTGGAGGTGGGGCTGGTTCCATCTCTGACCAGCTCAGTGCCAGCAGTGACAACTCAGTGCACAAGCAGCAGGTACTGTGGATAATATGCATTCAAAGCCACTCTCAATAAATTGTGTCCCATCTCACTTTTTTTCATTTCCTGGAGTGTTCCTCATTTAAGAAACTGAAATTTCCTGTTGCCTGTTGTTTTGGTTTTTTTTTTAATTTTCTCAGAATCATAGACTCATAGAATGGCTTGGTTTGGAAGGGACCTTAAAGCTCATCTCGTTCCAACCCCTGCCATGGGCAGAGGCACGTTCCACTATCCCAGGTTGCTCCAAGCCCCATCCAACCTGGCCTGGAACACTTCCAGGGATGGGGCAGCCACAGCTTCTCTGGGCAATCTGCACCAGGGCCTCAGCACCCTCCCACTCAAGAATTTTTTCCTAAAAATTTGGAAGGTGGAAAGAAGGAAGGTGCCATGTGGGAGGGGAAGAGCCATTTGTCCTGGAGGAATCCCAGCACAGTTTCTTCTCACAGGAGAGAAGCTCCAGACCCCTCATCATCTTTATGACCTCTGATGGACCCTCTCCAGTAGCTCCTCACCTTTCTTGTACTGAGGAGCCCAGAACTGGACCCAGCACTCCAGATGTGGCCTCATCAGGGCCGAGCAGAGGGGGAGCATCACCTCCCTCAACCTGCTGGCCACACTCCTCCCTCACCGGATTCCAGCTTGAGCCCTCACCGGAGCGCTTGTGCTTTGTCTCTGCGCGTCCCAGGCTTGGCTTTGCCATTTCTCCTCCTGTGGGAGCTGGGCTTGTTTAGTCTGGAGAAGAGAAGACTGAGAGGGGATCTCATCAATGCATATAAATATCTTCAAGTCAGGTGTCAGAGGATGGTGCCAGACTCTTTTCCGTGGTGCCCAGCAACTGGACTAGGAACAATGACCATAAAGAAGTTTCACCTCAGCGTGAAGACAAACTTCTTTCCATGGAGGGTGGCAGAGCCCTGGAACAGCTGCCTAGGGCGGGCGTGGAGTCTCCCTCTCTGGAGACATTCCAAACTCACCTGCTCCAGGCGACCCTGCCCTGGCAGGGGGGTCGGAGTGGCTGATCTGCAGAAGTCGCTCCCAACCCGAAGGATTCTCTGTGACTGCGGGTGCTGCGCGGCCCCTCCAGCCGGGCAGGGGGCGGCAGAGCGGCCGCGGGGCGGGGCGGGCGGAAGCGGCGGCGCCTCGGGCCGGGCCGGGGCTGTGCCGGGGCTGTGCCGGGTCTGTCCGGGGACTCTCCGGAGCGCCGCGGCCATGGCGGAGCGCATCGAGCAGCGGCTGGAGGACCGAGTGCCGGAGCTGGAGCAGCTGGAGCGGGTCGGGCTGTTCTCGCGCGCGGAGATCCGGTGAGCGGGGCCGGGGCCGGGCGGGCGCACGTGGCGAGTGGCGCTCCCATCGCTCCCATCGCTCCCATCGCTCACGTCCCGATCCCCGCAGGGCCGTCCTGAGGAAAGCCTCGGCTGTGGAGTACAAGATACAGCGGAGAGCGCTGCGGAAGGAGGATTTCATTAATTACATCCAGGTAGGCTTCACCGCGCAGCAGAGCGGGCCGTCCCTCGCTGCAGATCCAGCTCAGAACTGAGTAGTTTTGTCGTGCCCTAAGTGCCCTCACCTCGCCTGGTCCCTGGGGTTCACTGAGGGCGGCTTGTTGGCAGCAGAGCAGGAAGCACAGCCAGGAGTTGGTGCCTGAGGTTGGGATGAGGCGTCTCTCCCTTGTGACCTTCTCCTGTGGTTTCTTGTCTCTCCAGGGATGTGGAGCCCCCAGTTCCCTGATACGCTGTGCAAATTGTAGTTAAGTGCAATTAATAAGTTGGAGACTAGGAAAAAGCTCCTAAAAGGGTGGTTGGGCACTGAACAGGCTGCCCAGGGCAGTGGGCACAGCCCCAAGGCTGCCAGAGCTCCAGGAGGGTTTGGACGACGCTCTCAGGGACAGGGTGGGATTGTTGGGATGTCCTGGGCAGGGCCAGGAGTTGGACTTCGATGATTCTTGTGGGTCTCTTCCAACTCCAGATATTTTATGGTGCTAATTTTTTTGTGGCTAAACAAACTTCTAATTACAAGTTTGGCTTGTGCATCACAATTCCAGGAATATGGGTTGCCAACAGCTCAAGTCTGAAATGTCACTTGCAGTAGAAATCTTTAATATTAATTTCATCCAGTCTTAGAAATACCCAGTCAAAAAATTATTGCTTAGGTTTTCCTCTTTGTAATTTTTATTGTCCACCTGTCCATCAGCTCTAACAAACTTTATCTGGATTTTTTTGCCTTGCTGTTGAATGTCTCTTCATTTGGTTTTAAATGTTATTTTTCTTTCCATTCTAGTATGAAATTAATCTGCTGGAACTGATCAAGAAAAGACGAGCAGTAAGTCTGTCAGTTATTAGGAGTGCAAAATACTTTATGCAAAATACATTTTCTACTGCAATAAAATTGATATTTTTTTCCTCCCAGCGCATTGGATACTCGTTTAAGAAGGAGGAAATCGAGCACTCTATTCTGCACCGAGTGCACAGCCTGTTCAACAGAGCTACAGGAAAATGGAAAGTAAGTTTATTTGAGTTTTTGTTGTTTTTTTCTGCATGCCAGGTTGCTGTACCAAGGGTGTGTTGTTTGCTTGTCAGTGTACAAGTGATTTTGTACCTTGTGAGGTTGATTCTCTTCCTCTTTTCATTTCCAACAGGATGATGTCCAGCTCTGGCTTTCACATGTTGCATTTTGCAAGCAGTGGGTGAGTTTTCAAATGCTTGATCTTACCTGAGCTGAAATAGTGGATTGGTGTTTATTCAGGCATCTGGAACTTGAATTCAAGATAGGGGTACAAACTTTACTGCCACATGCTGTAATACTGAAATAATTTTGATAATATTGTTGAATCTGCCTGGGATTTTCACTGAAGTGTGTGTTCCATTCAGTACCAGAGTGGGTAAAACAAAACTGCTTCTTTTACAGAATGCAAAACATCAACTCAGTAAGGTGTTTTCTACCATGTTGGCCATTCATTCCAATAAACCAGGTAAGTAAAACAGTGGTGAGTGTTGCATAAATACCTCAGTGTCGATTGTGTGGTGTTGGTTAAAGTTCTTGTAGATCTCAGTTCAAGCTATTGGGGTGAAGGTCCCCACTGTCTTTTCTTTGCTTTGCTGCTGCTTCAGAGAGATGGGCTCTGACAGGGCTGTGCTGAGTAAGGTGATGGGAAGTAGGTCTGAATGACCATTTCCCAGTCAGACTGGGGACTAAGTAGATATATCAGAGGTGGGAGATGCTGAATGCTCAAGACCTGCTTTCTGGCTTTGGAAGACATCATTAGCTCTGTAGCTAAAGCAGATTAAACTCCCTGGATCTGCCTAGCTGCTTAGATCTGTCCTTCAGCTTGGTTTTACGTGGGAGATAATCAGTTTTGTTCCAATGCTGAGCTCATTCTGAGAGATTAAATTAATGAATTTGTATCACCTTTTGCAGCACTGTGGATTATGGCAGCAAAGTGGGAAATGGAGACACGACTCTCATCAGAAAGTGCCAGGCACTTGTTCCTTCGTGCTTTGCGCTTCCATCCAGAGTGCCCAAAACTTTATCAAGAGGTGAGATCCTGGTTTTCTTCTACAACCAGTTATTTGATCCATCAGAGCAAATCAGTTCAGCATATTTCTCAGGAAAAAAACTTGCTTCCCCCTCAGCAGGAAAATGTCAAAAATATTTAAAAAAAAATCCCAAAATTCCCATCTAAGGTGCTGTTAAGCTCTGCTTGGACATATTTCTCAGGGTTAGTCTGGCATCCCCAGCCTTTGTTGGAGAAGTTGGTTTTCTTTGAGGGCAAGTTAAGGTTTAAATAATGACTAAGAAATGATCATTGCTACATGTGGGAAATGTCTGGATAAATACTAGGGCATATAGTTATGTGCACAAGCTTTTAAAAACCAGGGCTCTTGGATGTGGGTGGGATGTGGGAAAGCCCTGATTTGTAGCTCCTCAGAGCTTGTTTTACCTCATTTGTAGACTTAGATTTTTATGACTTAACCCCCACAGCCATTTCATTGTGTTGTCACTCTTGCAGTATTTCAGGATGGAGCTGATGCACGCTGAGAAACAGAGGAAGGAGAAGAAAGAATTTGAAAAAGCAAAGATGGACTTGGTAGGTCAGCTGAACTTACTTAGGAGAGATTGTCTGCTTGTGTATCACCCATCTGAGTGCACAGTTTCACGGGGTCTGGATTAATGGTTTGTTTGACAACTGCTTAGAGAAAGTTTTTGTTCATGTGCTGTGCCTGTGAGAGCTCTTCAAGTGTTTGCTGATGCTCAGCTCAAATACTTCATACACTGATTTTTGTTTGCAATTGTAAAATCTTTTTATTACATTCCCCAGTCTGAAAATTAATAGTAATTTCTGGAAAGGAGTAGTTAAACTTACTATCTTTCAATTCTTTATAGTTGACTTGTGCAAATTACATAAAAATAGACTTAGATGAAGGAAAACATTGGTATCTTCTGATTTTTTTTTTCCCTGTTGGCAAAAATGATAGCTGAGAAAGGAAAATAATTTTTTCAACGATATGCTTGATATTGCAGGGGGAATTCAATTACTCTGAAGAGATTCTCAAGGGGGAAATGGCTCGAATAGTCTACAGGGATGCAACTCAGAAAATTAAAGGTGATTTAATATTTCTTGGACTTACTCAATAAGAAAATTGTCACTTTTAACCCAGCTCTGCAGTAGGTAATACTGACAGACTTAGCTCCAATGCACACAACTAAGATACCTTTTCAAATACACCATTTCTTCAGTAGAACCTGCATAATGCCAGAGAAAAAACTAATAGTGCTCATAGTTCTGATTTCATGTCTTTCCTGCAGGCTGACACCTCTTCCAGCACAGCAGCTTGTGGGCTGAAGTGACAGTGCTGGGCTTCCAGTCTCAAAACTTGATTGTTTAAAAAAAAAAGCAACAAACCAAAAATGCAAAGTGTGCAATATATCACTGATGTGATATATTGAGGAATTCTTTAACAAATACTAATTTTGACAGGGTTTTTGTCTCTTGAAATGTAGGTGTTGAGTTCCAGCTGGCTGTGCTCTCCATTGCAAAGCTCTTTGACTTCACCCAAGATTTGCAAAAAGAAATCCTTGAAAAGTGAGTTGTGGCTTTGTGTTGGGTTTTTATCTTGTTCTAGTTTAGGTTTTAAGACCCACGTTCTCATAACTTCTCTAATTTATAGTGAGTTGACAGGACTTTAAGCACTAAAGGCTGTTTCCTGTAGGGAATTAACATTAAGGAATTAGTGTTTGGATAAGGCAAGTGTGTTCTTTAGTAAAGGATGCTCGTATCTAACTGCAGAAAGGGCTTTAAAAAGCTGCTCAGAAAAATTTAGATATAAAATAGTTGTCACTGAATAATTACTGCACTTAGTTTCTGTAAATTCACTGCAGGAACTGTGGGTTTTCCTTGTGTACTTTTGTGGCATTTTTGCATCTTTTATTTCTTTAGCTGTTCCTCTCGAAAGAAAGATTTCTCTTGACAGTTTCCTGCCTAGTTCATGTTATTTCTGGAGAATATCCATATTAAATATTAAAAAAAAAAGCGCTAATATTTTGTCTTTCTCTTGTGGAAAGTAAAATATTTTTTTCTCTGGCATTCGGTTACTTAGCAAGTAAGTGTATATATATATACTTACATAATATAACAACCAAACAAATACCACAGCTTATATAACAACCCTTCTAAACATACCCGGGGCTGCAGGATGGTGGCTGTGGGCTGTTACAGACATGCTGTGTTCAGTTTGCAGGCCAATTATGCTGATGATCCCCTGACCTGGGACTACATGGCCCGTCGTGAGCTGGATTTGGGGTCCCTGAAGGCCCCAGGACACCCCACAAAGCAGAGCAAAGTGGCAGAAATGGCCCAGAGGGAAGAACGGTGCTGTGCAGTCTTCGATGAGGCTGTGGGAGCTCTGCCAACAGGTGAACTGCCCTGCCTGCATTTAACAGCTGTTCCTGGTACTTGAGAGTCTTGAAGGTGATGGCAGGCTCTGCCATACCTGAGAGAAGGAGAGCAGTTTTTACAAGGTGCCTTTTGGGCATCTATTTTATGTGTTATTTGGGTTATTTTCCAAAGCATTTATGCTCTCGAAGGAGCTGCTTAACTGGAAATGTGAGTATATTGCTGCTTAGCTGTGAGTCAG